CCCCCTCCCTTCTTACCTTTACAAGGGAGGAGGGGGGACATATTTTGATCCCTGGTGGTCCCAGTGGTGATTCCCTGGTGGTCCAGTGTGGAGAGTGAACTCTAGCCCACGCTCCCGGGCTAGAGTTCACTCTCGCGAGATTTGGAGCGTTGCCGTGGTAACCGCGGCAACGCTCCAAATCTCACGAGAGGAGGACCCGGAGGAGCTGCAGACTGAGCTCCGGGTCCTCCCTTTCACTCCCTCCCTCCACCGCCGGCAGCCAGCACAGTGCCTGCGGACCGGGGAGGGAGATCTGTGATCTCCCTTCCGGTCCGCAGGCACATTGCAGGGCTAGCACCTGCATGTGCTGGCAGGGGAGGGAGAGGGAGACCGGCGGATTTCTCGGGGGGGGCACTTGCCCCGTTGCCCCCCCCCTGGATCCGCCACTGGGTAGACATCTAGGGCTGCAGTATATAGGTGGGACATAAAATTACGCCCAGAAGTCATATTCAAGCGTTTTTAAGACAACTGTGAAGAATAAACAGCCACTGAGAAGTCCTATTTGTCCTGAACAAAATGATATATAGTAAGTGTGGGTACACATAATATGAAAGTGGTAAATTATGGTTGAACAAACATGTAGCTAAAATTCTAGGTTTTGTTTTGGTCAGAACTTGTACAATTGCCTCCATCCTTTATGGGTTAATCATTACAACATTAGCAAAAAATAAATAAAAATGCAATTGGCAATGAAAAATTCCTCTATGTCTGCCAGACACCTATGCTTGTGCACACGCATGCAAAAACCCACTCTAAACCTACAAAATAGCAAGTAAAAGAATACTCAGCTGGGTATCTGGGCCCAGAAAATTAGTGTTGAGTAACCAATATTTACAACAAACATCAATTGACTGAAGAGAAATATCTTCAGAGTAATGGAATAAATAAAGAGAAGCATCTGAGGAACAGCTAAGCTCCATAGATCATGAGTGGAGATGAGAGAAACATGTGGAAACATCACTGCAACACACAACTGATCTGGCCTTCATGGTAGACTAGCCAGATAGAAGCCACTCCTAATTGCAAGCCACATGGAAGCACATGAGGAACTTGCAAAAAAGGACCTAAATTACTCTCAGACAGTGAGAAACAAGATTTTCTGGTCTGATAAAATGAAGCGTTGTGTGTGGAGGAACCTAGGCATCGCTTATCACCTGTGCAATACCATTCCAACTGTGAAGCCTTATGGTCGTAGCATCATGATTTGGGGGGGTTTCAGCAGCAGGGACTGGGAGACTTGTCAGGGTTTAGGACAAGCTGAACACAGCAAAATACAGAGATACCCTTAAGGAAAACCTGGACCAGAGTGCTCAGGACCTTAGACTTGGCTGAAGATTTACCTTCCATCATGACAATGATCCTAAGCACATAGCCAAAATGGCTGAGGGCCAACTTTGCAAATTTCCTTGAGTGGCCCAGCCAGTGCTTCAAATTGAACCCAATCAAACATCTCTGGTGAGACCTGAAAATGGCTACCAACGGTCCCCATCCATCCTGACAGAGCTTGAGATGAGCTGCAGAGATAAATGGCAGAAACTACTAGATGCCAAAGGTCAGTGTGATATTTCAATTTTTATTTCTGTTTAATATATTTGCAATGGTGTTAAAAATCAGGGTTTTTTCTTCCTCATTATGGGGTTTTGAGTGTAGATTGATATGAAAAAATGTTATTTAAACTGTAACATTAAACTACAGCTGAAAACATGCGGAAAAAAATAAAAGGATCTAAGTAATTTCTGAACCCACTCTATACTGTTTTTTCCCCACTAAATATTGTTAAAATCTGTTCTTATCTAATGACTTCCTCACTATAAGCATCATATCCACTATAGTCTGTTGTAGTAAATATGGTGCCAAAAGTCCTGGTTCATAGTAAGTTTTCAAACCATTTGTAAAGGTTTATGACAGTTACCTTTTGCCAACCATAATCCTTTATCCATTATTATTATTATTGGCATTTATATAGCGCCAACAGATTCCGTAGCACTTTAAAATATTAAAAAAGGGGAGATTTAACAATAAATAAGACAATTACAAAAACTTACAGGAACAATAGGTTGAAGAGGACCCTGCTAAAACACAATAGTACAGAAAGAAATCAAAAAAGGTGGGAGTGAAGCAGAGCTGGGAGAGAGAGTAGAGTGCTGCCCTTTAGGAGAAAGCAAGAGACAGGTATGTGAGGTAGAGGTTACTATGGGAGGCTATAAACTTTCCTGAAGAGATGGGTTTAAAGGCACTTCTTAAACAATTGAAGACTATGGATGAGTCTGACGGTGGTAGGCAGGGTATTCCAAAGGAAAGAAGCCACCTGCAAGAAGTCCTGCAAGCGTGAGTTGGCCGTACATGTGCGCGTAGTGTACAGGAGAAGGTCATTGGCAGAGTGTAGAGACTGAGAAGGGGCATACTTATGGATCAGTGAAGAGATGCAGGAGGGGCTAGAATTGTTCAATGCTTTATAGGTATGGATTAGTACTTTGAATTGACTCCTATAGGATACAGGAAGCCAATGTAAGGACTGACACAGGGGTGAGGTGTGAGAGGACCAACTGGAGAGGAAAAACAGTCTGATGGCAGCATTCACTACAGACTGTAGCAAGGCAATACGGCTTTTGGGAAGACCAATAAGGAGAGGTTTACAATAATCCATGCAAAAGATTACTAGAGCATGGACAAGCTCCTTAGTAGCATTTTGCGTAAGAAAGGGGCAGATGTGGGCTATGTTTTTAAGGTGCAATCTACAGGATTTGGTAACAGACCGGAAGTGAGGCTAAAAGGTGAAGCCAGAATCAAGTATAACGCCAAGATATGGCGCTTGCAAGGATGGACTGATGTGGGTATCACTAACTTGAAGAGAGAGTGAAAGAGGAGGATCAGTATTAGGAGGAGGAAAAACAAGGAGCTCAGTTTTAGAGAGATTGAGTTTCAGAAAGTGGGAGGACATCCAGTCAGAGATGCAAGAAAGGCAAGCAGTGACACGTCGCAGGATGGCAGGGGAGAGGTCCGGGGCGGAGAGATATACCTGGGTGACATCAGCGTACAGGTGGTAGTGGAATCCAAATGAGGTAATAAGCTTGCCAAGAGAGGCAGTATAAAGAGAAAATATAAGGTGAGAGGACAGTGTGGCGGGACCACTGCCTATCTGTGAACTGCTAGGAGCTGTTCCCTGTGTTTTCCACTATATTATGTTGTATTTGTGTATTTTACCTGCTCCCCTGTTCCGTTCACCTCCCGAACAGGGACCACCAAGAGACCTCATTTAGAATGTTGTCTTAGAACATTCAAACCTCATAACAAGGTGTGAAAACCACAAACCGCAAGGGAAGCCTCGGCCTGTGCCGACCCTGGGTGGCGGCCCGTTCTTTAGACGAATGCCATCTAGGGGGAGCATTCATGGATTGATTTCCACCCCGAACGGGGACCTCAGTGTCCTTGGAGTGTTCACACCAATCAATTAGAACATTGGCAACTTGCAACACAAGTGTGAAACCGCAAGGGAGTGATTATTGAGTGTTTCCCTGGGTGGCCGCCGTTCGTATAGACGGACGGTGGCCAGGGGGAGCTTTTGTGTCCCGAATGAAGACACTTCCCTTGCCTGGTTTCACTCAGGGACCCCATGAACGGAGGCAGTCTCTTGGGGACAATGGCAGTTTTGCGGGCTTTCTGTGACTGTAAGTCCAGGAGGCAGGAAACTTTCCCGCGCTGGGAGTCCTGGGAAGAAGTCCCCCTGCCATAGGAAGTTGTAAACCCTGTATTTGGTGGGAACTGTTGACAAAGGTACTGAGGTTCCTGTCACACGCACAGGCCCCTGGGAGGGGGAGGATCCTGGGAGGGGACACTGAGTGGCGGGAACCAGGGACAAAGGGAGGGGGAGGACGCTGGGAGGGCATTGTCTTTTACCTGTGTTCCACCCCTTGCATGGAGAGAGTATAAAGCCAAGTGTGGCCAATACAGTAGTTGTTCTACTCCTGGAACTGTGTGTCGTCCAGTTACTGGGGAAGATGGGTCTGTTAATTCATTTATAGCAGGGGTAACTAGCCGGGTTACTCAGAGCCTGCTACAGATAGTGTCACAGAGACCAAATGATTGAAGAGCTTGAAGAAGGAGAACATGATCAATAGTTTCAAAGGCAGCAGAGAGGTCAAGAAGAATTAGTATGGAATAGTGCCCTTTGGATTTAGCTGTGATTAGGTCGTTGATAACTTTGATAAGAGCAGCTAAGTAGAGTGGAGGGGGCAGAAGCCAGACTGAAGAGATCAAGGAGAGAGTTGGAATTGAGAAACTGCTATGTTTCACTGAGGGTTAAACTGAGGGTTAATCCAGCCTCTAGTAGCTGTCTCACTGACAGAAGACGCTGGACGTCCATAAGAAAGCATTGAGTAATGCTTTCATTTGGGCTGTTTGAATGTGCGCGCGGCTCTTGCCGCGCATGCGCATTTGGATCTGATGTCGGCAGGGGGTGGAGAGTTCGCCAGCACAGAGGGAGCCTGGCGCTGGAGAAAGGTAAGTGGCTGAAGGGGTTTTGACCCCTTCAGCCCAGCGGGGGAGAGGCCCTGAGGGTGGGGGGACGGGACCTAATGACCTTACAGTGCCAGGAAAATTAGTTTGTTTGCCTGGCACTATAGTGGTCCTTTAAAGAACAGTTTACATGAGCATTGACCATGTTGGAAATGAAGAGCTTACCGTTCTGTTAAGTGCTTGCATGCTCTGCAATAGACTAACTGGTGTACACTTAAAGCGAATATCCATATCCTGAACCTAGCTAAACAGCTGATCCCCCCTTTTTGGAGACAACAAACTAGCCACCCTTTTTAGCTGTGGTTCACTAAGATGAAAGAACTCCGCTCCATAGAGGAGCTCATAGTCAAAACCTCTGATAGAACACTAAAATATATGGAATCTTGGTCCCATTCATTCCATCCATTTTTTTTTTTCAAATTTATATTTTATTGAAATTTTTTTTACAATCATATCCATCGCAGAGTCACATTTTAGGTCATTCCATCCATTTTAGATGTTTTGTATTGCAGAAAAGCTGGATATGCATAGCAAATGGAAACGTTGATATACATGACTGAAAATACTGATTTTACTTTTCACTTTAAGGGACCTGTGAGTTCCATGTCATGAAGCTGTGGCTAATGAATTTTTGGTCCTGCGATACCATCATCTTTTTCAAATCATGTCCCTGTGATTCGAAAGGTGTACCTTCCATAACTATATAAATGAAAAACATTTTAAAATCAATAAACATATACAGGGAGTGCAGAATTATTAGGCAAATGAGTATTTTGACCACATCATCCTCTTTATGCATGTTGTCTTACTCCAAGCTGTATAGGCTCGAAAGCCTACTACCAATTAAGCATATTAGGTGATGTGCATCTCTGTAATGAGAAGGGGTGTGGTCTAATGACATCAACACCCTATATCAGGTGTGCATAATTATTAGGCAACTTCCTTTCCTTTGGCAAAATGGGTCAAAAGAAGGACTTGACAGGCTCAGAAAAGTCAAAAATAGTGAGATATCTTGCAGAGGGATGCAGCACTCTTAAAATTGCAAAGCTTCTGAAGCGTGATCATCGAACAATCAAGCGTTTCATTCAAAATAGTCAACAGGGTCGCAAGAAGCGTGTGGAAAAACCAAGGCGCAAAATAACTGCCCATGAACTGAGAAAAGTCAAGCGTGCAGCTGCCACGATGCCACTTGCCACCAGTTTGGCCATATTTCAGAGCTGCAACATCACTGGAGTGCCCAAAAGCACAAGGTGTGCAATACTCAGAGACATGGCCAAGGTAAGAAAGGCTGAAAGACGACCACCACTGAACAAGACACACAAGCTGAAACGTCAAGACTGGGCCAAGAAATATCTCAAGACTGATTTTTCTAAGGTTTTATGGACTGATGAAATGAGAGTGAGTCTTGATGGGCCAGATGGATGGGCCCGTGGCTGGATTGGTAAAGGGCAGAGAGCTCCAGTCCGACTCAGACGCCAGCAAGGTGGAGGTGGAGTACTGGTTTGGGCTGGTATCATCAAAGATGAGCTTGTGGGGCCTTTTCGGGTTGAGGATGGAGTCAAGCTCAACTCCCAGTCCTACTGCCAGTTCCTGGAAGACACCTTCTTCAAGCAGTGGTACAGGAAGAAGTCTGCATCCTTCAAGAAAAACATGATTTTCATGCAGGACAATGCTCCATCACACGCGTCCAAGTACTCCACAGCGTGGCTGGCAAGAAAGGGTATAAAAGAAGAAAATCTAATGACATGGCCTCCTTGTTCACCTGATCTGAACCCCATTGAGAACTTGTGGTCCATCATCAAATGTGAGATTTACAAGGAGGGAAAACAGTACACCTCTCTGAACAGTGTCTGGGAGGCTGTGGTTGCTGCTGCACGCAATGTTGATGGTGAACAGATCAAAACACTGACAGAATCCATGGATGGCAGGCTTTTGAGTGTCCTTGCAAAGAAAGGTGGCTATATTGGTCACTGATTTGTTTTTGTTTTGTTTTTGAATGTCAGAAATGTATATTTGTGAATGTTGAGATGTTATATTGGTTTCACTGGTAATAATAAATAATTGAAATGGGTATATATTTGTTTTTTGTTAAGTTGCCTAATAATTATGCACAGTAATAGTCACCTGCACACACAGATATCCCCCTAACATAGCTATAACTAAAAACAAACTAAAAACTACTTCCAAAAATATTCAGCTTTGATATTAATGAGTTTTTTTGGATTCATTGAGAACATGGTTGTTGTTCAATAATAAAATTAATCCTCAAAAATACAACTTGCCTAATAATTCTGCACTCCCTGTATTTACAAAAAAAAGTTTGCTATATATATCTAAATTATATTGTCTTTCACAAAAACATTGACATGTATATAGTGATAGAACATAACTCCCATGGACATTTTTTATAAAATCATACGTTGTTGCATTGACTAAATACAGTTGTAGGTACAGATGGTGTAGCAAGGGACCACATTGCACATATTGGGCATAAAGTTCTGCAAAGGCACGGTATGCCAAACAGCAGCTCTGTAAAATCTAGGGAAAATAGTGTGTCTGAGACAGTAAACTTTTGGAATGACTCCATGATATGAAGCAATTAAAAAAATAAAAATAAAAATTGAAGTGGATTGTGATCTAGTATAGTTTTGAAAAAAAATGTGGTAAAACACTAGGCACAAATCATTGTCTTATGGCTTTGAATACTACAACATATCACAGTGAAGTGTAAAAGGGCACAGCTCAGTTAAATGTAAAGCTCCCTCCTTTGCCAAAGGATCTAGGCATGTCTTTCCAGCTCTGTGTAAACAAAGACATCTCACACCACGTGTTGCATCACTCACTCTCTCATCGAATCGCTTCCAGATTTAGCAACCTCTCTGTCCCATGGTGACATCAGCCTGCTCTTTAATCTCTCCATGTGCTGCTTTGCAGGCCCAGTTATAAATAAGCCTCTCCATTCTCACATATTCTTAGGAAGAAAGAGAGGGAGATAGTGCTTAATCTTCACTTCGCAGGAAGCACAATTTATTTTTCCAGATAATGTTTAAGTAATGATGTTTCAAACACAGAGACTCAACAACCAACTGCTGCTGATGAGTCTGGCAGCTATTGTAAGTGTATTTTAACATCCATGTCCAGGCCTGCTTTCTTTAGAACAGTAAGTGTTAGATTATTAGCGTCTTTCTTTCTTCATTCTCTAGTACCTAATGTAACAGATAATGAGATTGAAAACAATGAATTTGAAAGTGAGACCGTAAAATATATTAGATTATAAATAATGTATACATTTACTGTTTGCATGGGGTGGGAAAGTCTTGAAGAGCGATGTAGGGAGTAAATACAATTACTGAACTTTGTTTAAGCTTTACATGTTTTGTAAATATACAAAATATACTGTAAAAAAACATCACTGAGAAGCAAAAAGTGAAATTAACAGTCGAGTCTCCATGTTATAGTAATGGTAGCATATATTAAGGAACAGCCCACACATAAAAATACATTTCTGAATTCAGTAAGGCTACTTAAAATCGCCTATCTCAGCAAACAAATATGAAAATTTAGTTCCACCACATGGCCATATTGTGTTAAGCCTAAAACTATTTAACAGTATCCCAATATTGGGGGATCCTACACTAATTCCAACGTGGGAGACAAATTAAAAAGTGCTAGTGCTAACTGTAAAGTGTATTTAAATAATCTGTTGTAAGAGCGCTATGAATAAATATAAGACAAAATTAATGTGATAAACACAATTTTAAAAGATGCAGTGTCAAAACTAAATAATTAAAGTGATAGTGCTTTGATGTATATACTCATGGCATTACTATCCAAAACTTCCTCAAATATATACTTGTGGTCACCTCCAAAGAGGCTACTGAAGCTGGGGGCCTGGACAGGGTGTTTAACCCCTAAGGGAATCTTGTCTGGATTCCAAACATGCAGAGTAATTACAAAAAGGAATTGGGGCACACCCCAAACATGCATCTTGCAGGAATGGTGCTGCCGTAGTGACAAAAATTTATACATAATAAAGATTAAGTCCATTAAGATAGTAATGGTAATGACAGACATAGCATCGTAATTAAAATAAATAAATACAATTAAAGAGAAGATTTTAAAAAAAACCAAACAGAAGCAGCAATATAAAGACTGTATTAACATTGACAAGATTCTCATTCCATACACAACAATGGAGCTGTGTATATTGTACCTATAAAAAAAATAAGTACCAATGTACTATGATGCTTTAATCCTGATAAGTGCTTTGTGAAACTCATTTCTAGATCATGGCCACGTGTAACTGGGGACAGCATTAAAATTATCCCATTCCAACATGAAACAGGGCTAAAAGAGACCTTTTATTGTAAACCAACATATACACAGTAAGTGGAACATAATCAAGTAAGTGTTTTGGGATTTGTAAACAGCTTGTACCAAAATATTGGGCCAAAATATTGTGAAATCAACAAAACTTGAAGAATTGGCTCTGTCTTTGTAGGATCACGTGGTCTCATGGGATCCTCTAAAGACCTCACTCTCGTGCAGCAGTGACGTAGGTTCGTGGTGCAGAAGCACGGGAGCTTAAGAGGAAGATGGCAGCGCCTGTGAGGGACACGTTTGGGTCAGTAAATCTCATTTTTACTTGCCCTCCCTCCAACAAACCCCCAGCGGCAATGTAACCGTTGGGGGTCTTTGCAAATTCAGCCAGACCACAGAAAGTGACATGCATACATTATAAGGGTGCTGGGTGCTGCTGGGGAAGACAGTGCAATCACTCACTCACTAAACACCAGCTTCAAAGCTCACAAAATGAAAACTGTTTTTTTTTTTTTTATTGTGGCAGAGTTAGGCAATGTATGATCGTATACTGTAACTAAATCCCCTTTATTTGTGTCTAAATCATTTCTTTATTGTATTTTTTAAACTTATATGAGCTTTGAAGCTGGTGTTTAGGGAGTCAGTGAGTGTGCTTGATTTTATATGCACATATACATACACTCATTTACTGTACATATAAAAGTTCCAAAAACGGATAGCACTCCTGTGACCTCTTTTTCAAATTGTCAATACAAGTTTTTTTAAATTGTAAAAGAAGTCCCATGAGTGCTATCCTTTTTGGATTTTTTTTTTACAGTCTACTGCTGGATTAAGCACTGGGCATAAGATTATATCAATTATTGAGTGCAAGACTACTGGGATATTGTATACCTCTATATATATATTTTTTATTATACACATATGTGTGTAAAATACAGAAATATAAAAATGCGTGTTTGTCTTTTTAGGCACTGTTTTGGATAAAAATAACATACAAATATGCATTTTTCAGAGTCATCTTAACTGTTTGCATGCTGGATAGCTCACCTTAGAGGGATCTGAAGCGTTAGTTGTAATGAAATGGTATTTTTACTGCCATGCCCTAGAATGCCTTTCTGATAATAGCATTTTATAATGCCTTGCATCCCACCCTTATCCAAACCTCAACGCCCCACCTTCAAATCCATGGACTTTCCCTTTTTGTGGGGAGGAAGGCAGATGAGACTTTGCCTTTGGAATTCATGTCACAAATTCTTAGGTCATGAGGCCATATGTTATTTCTGCCTATGACCCCCCTACACCCCTCATCACAACCATACACCTCCCACAATGCTCGCAAGGACTTCAAGCAATAGGCTTCGCCTCTCTTGATATTTGTAGTAATAAAAACAGTCTCCTCTCTGTTAGATTTCAAGGGACTCACACAGTAAAGCTCTATAGTGTCACCATTCTAGCAACGAGAGCGAGAAGCTGTCTCAGACACAGCCAGGTATAAAAATAGAAAGAGAGGCAGCTACCATCTGCTAGACACTCGACACTACCCTATGCCTGGATTTGTACGGTGCCTGGGATAGGGGAGTCCATATCAGTGCCCTGCTCCCCTAACACAAACCGAGCACTGGATCTTGGGGAGTGTCTCCTTATTTGGGGGAGCACAACCTGGAACTGACTGCACCTGTAAATAGCAAGATAAGGAATAATAGTAATGGCAGTTTGACCCTGGATTGTTCCCAAAGTTTTGGGAAACAGGTAAGTTCCATTCATAAGGTATATTGATAAGGGTACACATATTTCGAGCATTGTAAATGTGCCAGAACATTTTAGTGTTTAAATACATATGGGTTATAGTTGTGTGTGGATACTAGAAGTACAGAAATATGTATATTAACAACTCTTTTTTTTTATTTCTGAAACTAGTCTGATATGCTTAATCTTAAATTTTAAATATGAACAAAACATATGTGAGTTATCGATGCCCCCTCTTAAAAGTGTGAGAGGGGGTTAAATACCTCTTACAGTCCTGGTGCCTCTTGCACTCTGGAACATATGCATTCAGTAATGACGTATTGCAATGCTTAAACTCAGTTTATAACGGTCCTCCATAAAGCTGTGACTGCCATGGATATTCAGTGAACTGTGCATTGTTAGAGCTTGCTAGGAATAAAAGTGAATTTCACAATGTTACACAAAATAGTCAATTTGTTAAAAAACAAAACAAAAAAAAACAGGTTATTTTGGTGTAAAATTTTAAATTCATGATAATTCACATTTTAGTGAATAGCCGTGTTTGTGACCTGAGAATTCCATCTCCAAAGCTGGCATGTGGTATCGTGGATGATATGTATATGTTAATAAGTTAAAATAGAGTTAACCAAATGTCCTCTTTATAAGGCAATGTATATAAAAACAGTAATAAATAAAACACGTTAAAGGGGTGAATCGATTTTGGATCGTAATATTGATGAGTGTGAATGCAGAGTGCTAATATATGTGTTTTTATCGCAATATTTATACCTTGAAAGCAAGTGTAAAAACACAATACCACTACTTATGATAAATTATAATAACACCCCAAATGAAATGCTTATGTTTAGGAAAGAAGCTGGTATATTGCAAGGGGTAGTCATTTTAGGTTACATGGCAGAAGATTGAGGGTAATAATATATTCCTGGAATAGTAAATACCTCGATTACCTTTCTAGAAAAATGTTTGTGGCGAAAACATTTGAGAAATTAAAAAAATCTAATAATATAATGAGGCTACTTTAATGTATTAATTCAGGCAAAACAAGGAAAGGAAAGGTATGTGGTTTTCCTGGCTCATTCCAATGAGTTTTAGGATAGGTAAAATCAATATGTCATATTGCTAAACGAATCCCAACCTGCCAATCAAGGCATTTTATTAAATTAAGACCTGTGTTTTAATGTTTTGGGGCAAAACAGTTATCATGTCTTTAAAGGAACACTATAGTGACAGGAACACAAACATTTGTTGTATTCCTGTCACTGTAGCTGAAAAAAAACATTGTTTATTCCTGTAAGCAATTCAAAAGGTGATTTTGGTTGTTGCGATGACTATAGCATCCCTTTAAATCTTTCAATGTTGTTTAGTCATTGCACGAGCAAACCCATGGTCAATCTTCAGACATTAAAAGGACAAATATATTACGAAACTAACAGTCACATGCCACGCTAGTTCATAAGATACAATGCCATAACACTACATAGATCAAAGTGCAATTATATAGAAAACAGTACTAGCAGGTATCATCGTGACTCTTAGGGACCTTTAAAAGTAACCCACTGCTTGAACCATTATTTTTTTGGAAAAACTCCTGTTTATTCTGGCCTGTACCGAATACTTCCAGAAACGATTGCCTTTTAGGAAATGCCACAAGGGGGCCATATATTTCAGAGCTGTGGGAACATTTATTGTGAGTTTCCTAATGGCTGTGGGGATGTAACAACAGTCCATGCAAGCATTACGAAGCTCCCGTCCCAATGCTGCTACCTTGTGGAAATGACATACCAGCTATGTTTTCGTCAGCCAACTAGTTTCACATGCTTTTAAGGCAACATAGAGAGTTTAGTTGCTGCCTGCTAAAATCTAGTATTCAGAGTGGATACTATGGGATCACAACCATAATTTATTCATGTTTTTTCCTCTGGAAGTACTTGAACTCTTTCCAGGCAGCACTATTCATGTACACGTCTCCTCTCCTCACAGCATGTTAAACCCCTGTTCAAAAAATTGGGCTAAGATGGCAACTCTGAGAACTCAGAATGTTAGGGGTAGATGTTGGTATATGGTAAGGTGTCATACAAATATTACTTTGCTCTAATATTATAGCAGTTTTTTAAATGGATAATTTGCAGTTTATTTTATTTTTTTCACTAAAAGCAAACAATGCATTGTGGGTTCTTGTTTTGTTATATAGTTACATGTTACATGTTACATGTTTACCTGCATTCACTCAGGTGGGTGCAATTATGCTCCCCTGGTTCTTGGTCAAACTATATCTGAAAGGTCTGACAAAAAGAGGAGACCCCCTACTCACCAGAATTGCTAAAGTGAAAGTTTCACTTGCACATCAGTAATATCAACTTTATTCATATTTATTGACTTTGTGGATCAATTTCCGCATTTACAATTCAATCAAACAGCATGTTGTATGTAGTGGTTGTGGTGCCCAGGCTTTTCTTTAGTATTAAAACTCAATTGTCAACTAACCACTAATAAAAAAATTGGTGGGGGGAAGGGGGGTAGGGGGAAGGGAAGAATCCTTAGAACATCAAAAGACCACACCACACACATAAAGTACTTCAGCGTGTAAGGAGTTTCCCACTGCAAGGGAATGTTATAAAAGTAGCGATTTCTATGAGAAATCTACATTTGTAAAATTAAAGAGGATCTGTCAACGACGCAGATATTACATAATTTGCAAAGCCCCCCGGTGTTGGCATTGAGTACAGCATTGACATTTATGGAGGATCCCTCGAGACCGCGTAATCCTACACAGAAAGAGCTTAATTGACCTACAGCCTCCACTCGTAATGGCTGGGGGAAATGACAAGGCTTGATGGCCTCTATTTTGTCTGCGTATACATTTTGACAGAGTTGAATTTTTTGTGAACACAATCTGAATAATAATAAATATAAAATTCACACAATCTGAATAATAATAAATATAAATATAACATAAACCTTCTATCTTTATTAAATACTCATTTTTGAGGGGGGCGTGAGACAGTGCCGCTTTAATTAATGAAACCACCCAGTCTGTCAGACAGCTCTACTCCCCTACATTGGCACGCACAGAGGGAGAGCTTCAGAGCATTTGATAGACTATTTTCTTTGTGAAGAGACTGTTAGTCTTTTCTGGGGAATAAAGGGCTTGCAAAGTTTGTAAGTTATTTTGAGATATACCCCCAATTAATACAAGAATTGAAAATGCATACATGTATTCATTGGGGATAGATCTACTATACACAGGTTTGTAATGTTTTGTCCATTTGAGCTGTGAAGTGTCCCTTTAAGCACAAATGACATTTTAGCAAACTGAAAAAGCAAATCACCTAAATGCACCGGGACTTGATCTATACGGATCGGTCCCTCATTTGGCATTTCAGAGCATGCAATTGCTTTCAGTGCAAAGCCCATGCAGGGGAAAGACTCTACACACAAGCTGCATTATTATTGATGTGTCTTCACTTCCTGTATCCTTCCCGCTCACAGAGATCAAGAGAGAGAAAGTCTTGAAAGTGAAAGTTTATTGCCAGGCCAATCTCCTCATAGTGTTCTTAAAGGGACACTATAGTCACCAGAAAAACTACAGCTTAATGTAGTTGTACTGGTGAGTATAGCATGTCCCTGCAGGAATTTTTATGTAAACATAATGTTTACATTGCTCCCTAGGGACACCTCTGTGGCGAAACCGACCTCGCCAGTGGGCATTGGAGAAGCCTGTTTTCCCGCCTCCTGCCTGCTGACTATGGCCCCTGGGAGATTTGGCCCTTTAAATACAGTATTTGGGCATATTATTATGCTGCTGCTGGCCCTTTAAGAAACATCTGGGGACATACTGTGGAGTTACTGGGTGGCCACCATTTCATGTATCAGAGGCACATGGTGAGAACAATGGATGGCGGCCATTTTAACTCACAGCCACGGTTTGGACTTTTCTACACGGTGCCATCTCGCCAGTATTTGGTGCACAAAGACATCATTCAGTAGTTTTAAACTATACAACAGGGGACACAGTAAACAGTAATTATTTTTTATATAATCTGTATATGTTCTGCAGAACCTGCATTAAACTGTATTTTCCAAACTACTGAACGGATCTGGGTGAATTTTGGATATGTGGTTCACCCAGATCCCCCGGTTCCGAGGATTTTTATGGGGTTATTGCATGTTTTGGGGTCCCTGTGATATGTTTTATAATACTGTATTTCTCTGCCTGTGATAATTATATTAACCATTGTGTTCAGTAATCATATCACAGGCAGAGGGGAGGATTTTGTGTGGGAGTGTCTGTGTGTATTGTACGGATTGATTGGTTGTATTCCAAAACCCTGTGGGCTGTACTATGTTTGTGGATTGTGAATAAAAGAGGCTGTATGTGCCAGTACAGTCAGTTCTGCTTGACCTCAAAACGAAGTGTTGTCTCGTTATTGGGGGAATTGGATTGTATGCTGATTGCCAGAAGTGTAAGCTGATTGCATGCTTTTCCTGTTCAACTGCTTACAGCATTGATATGCTTGAGAGCATTCGTATGCTTCTCCGGTTCGGTGGTTGTGGTGTCTGCTGCAGTGCTTGGAGTCCTCAGGAAGCGCTAGGAGCATCCTTCAATGGAGGTACCCAGTCGGGGTGCCAGGTGATCCGTTACAACCTCCAGTTGCAGTTATGTTTTCATGTAAATATAATATTTATATTGCTCCCTAGGCACACCTCCAGTGGTAGTCACTCAGACGGCCACTATAGGTGCTTCCAAGGTCAGTGCAGCCTGCCTCCTTAGCTGCGATCATCAGAATTGACCATCTCAGCCAATGCAATACTTTCCTATGGGCTGAAATCATCAATTCCGATGATGTCCTTTAAGCACTACTCAGATTCAAACATTCAAAAATTTATTTAGCCCATTGAACACTCTATTCTAAATCCCACGCTCTCTACATTTTATTGCTAGCAGGAGTAAAGCTGGCTAAAATGTTTAATATTTTATTCATACATAATTATGAGTTATATATAAAATCAAAAATTTCATACAGGTATATAATATGTATGGGCACAGTTAAATAACCACTTACTTTACCCAGGCCATCATCTTAATGAAGTGACCTGGGTGCAGTGGTCCAGGCAATATAACAGTTATGCAGAAACTGCAATGTTTACCTTCCAGTGGCTATTATACTGACAGTTGGTGGAGGCGGTTCCGCTTCATTGACCAAGTTAAATTTGGTCAGGTGATGTGAAAGCCCCCAAAGCAAAGCACTGATTCAAAGCTTTCCTATGGGAAAGTTTGGATGCATGAGACATTTGTCGAGCATGCGCATCAGGTCTTCAATACTCGTCTATGAGGAGCATTCGATTGAACCACACCACAGGAAGCCATGCCTCTCCTTGGGGAGGCAGAGCAAAAAAAAAAGTTTAAAAAAAAAAAAAAAAATGTTATATGAATTTTATCAGACATGGAAGGGAGGGGAGTTTTGGTAACTAGGGACAGGGACACTAAAGAGTAAGGAATACAGGTTACTTTAATACCTGGATACTTTAATATACTTAATACAGTGTTCCTTTAATGAGAAAGGTGGGCAATTATGGTTAAAATAAACACAGTAAATATTCCAAAATTAGAGTGGTCTTAACAGTGCAAAATAACCTTGTTCACTAAGGTCTTAAATGTCATTTGGATTTTATGGATATACTTGAGAATCTACTGAAATAGGGAACAGGGAAAACTGTAATAATTTTGTAAATTTTCCACAATTCTCAGTTAAAGGAAACTCACTTAAGTGTTACAAGGGAAGGAGTGTCTGGTGTCTTTTTATCTTCGGGGTTTAACTAATTTTTCAATGGTTTAACCATGAAGTTTTAGGTTCAGGCACCCTGACTTCCCTGTAGCTCCAGGTTTCTTCATCTGCGCTGCAATATGATGAGTATTTAGCCTGTGGCTGATGACTGAGAGCATCAACGTATTACTGACCGCTCACCAAGAGAAATAGTACATACTGTTTCTCTCAATAGGTGGCCAGTGCTAGGATGAGAGTGTCACCCTATCACAGATTGTCTGATTAAACCATCCTCTTCTACAGCACAGAGAGGAAGAAAGCCAGGGCGAGCAATGCTGGGTGCCGGAGCCCAAAATTCTGTGCTGCCTGCAGACTTCTGCTTCCATAAGCAAGCACATGCAAACAAAGATATGCACTCCCAGACAAACATATAGACTTGCACACACCAAGAGATATACACATGCACTCCCTACACACTTGTGATATATGCTTTTTGGGTGCTGTCCCACTTTAGTACCCCGGTGTCCTGCATATGGAGACATCATATGCAGGACACCAGCGTTCCTTTAAGTGAATAGACTCTTTATCCTTGTGAAGTGCAGTGGACTAACACAAACACACAGACAGACCATATAACATAGTGTTTATCAAACCTCCAACGTGCTCCTAGACTTTATTATGGCATTATGGACATAACATATACAAATTAATGTAGTTTTAATAGTTCAGGAATTCTATATGTTGGAGATAAATGAACACAAACCTGTATTCCTAACACTTAAGTGTTCCTGTCCCTAGTAACATAGGTGTTCCAACCCCCCTTTTTCCCTAAATATAAAAAAAAATATGTTTTTTTTCTTAGTTTTTTTTCCAGTGCTTTCTTGGCAGTGCACACATCGCTGCCTTTCAGAGGTGTCATGGTGGAGGCATGTCCTCCTCCGGTGTGGTACAATTTGTGGTGCCACACATGCATCCAAGCTTCCCATAGGGAAGCATTAATTAAATCAGTGCAAAACGGCAATGTTTTACATTAAATAGTTAAATTGGCAGAGCCACTGCACCCAGTCCACTTCATTGAGATAAAGTGGACTAGGTGACATTAGTGGTCCTTTAAGGGGGTCCAAGCACCATAAGCACTTTAGTGTTTTGGTGTATGGCAGTGTTCCCCAACCCAGTCCTCATGGACCACCAACATAAATACTGGACTGTTGGTGGTCCCTGAGGACTGGGTTGGGGAACACTGGTGTATGGAGTCTGTATGCAAAGTGTTTTGCTTTGAAAGGCTGCACACACAGAAATTAACTCCTTAGCTCCCAGAGGTGTAACGCGACTTCCGGAAGCATCACAGGGGAGACATCAGCCAGCCTGGAACGAGGATTCCGAGCCGACTAATGTCCATTCTGTGCGACTTTCATTGCACAGCATGTCAGTCATTGGCTGAGAGTGGTCAGCTGACATTGTCAGCCAATGACTGTCAACCGCCACAGCTTCAGGAGCTCTATAGAAGCCAGAAGCGTAACAGCCAGAAGCAAGGAGCTTCGGAGTCCAGAAGTATTACCGTCGAACTGGGCTAGGGTACTTCTGGCCTCCTAACCACTACAGAGGGATGCTTGGGGTAACCCCCTTTTTTTTTTTATTCTTTGTTTTATTGAGGCATTGAAAGGATACATGACAGGCATTACAGAGTCTCATACAAGCTTGGTTAACAAGGATAGGGGATAACTCCTAGAAAAATCTACCTCTTTCTTTTTTTTTTTTAGTTTAAGAAGATAGACAAGAACAGTTGAACACTGCAAACATGAGTTTAAAGACATTTCACATGCAATAACAGGTGTTAGCATTAAATGAAAAGTCAGGAAGGACTGCTCTTTTCTTTTTTGAGGAAAAACAGGCATTACAGAGCTTAGCAAGTTAATTACCCCAGGAGGTACCATAGTAAAAAGAGTAAATGAGACATGTGAGCAAGAAATAACGGGTATAACTAAACTTTGGCAGCAGTAGGAGAATATGCCTCAAAATTAGGTAAATAACTGTTTCCCCACTACAACCATGCTGTGATCCCCAGTCACCCTATGCCTTTAGTTGGCAGAGCACTGTCCAGTTCCCCAAAGGAATGCTTCAGGCGTTTGGTGCGGTATGAATGTCGGCTGATCAGGACATACATCAGGAACCGGGTTCTCCGCTGCTTTTCAGGCTTGTCCCTGTGCTTGGGCTTGGTCTGAGCGGTCTTCAGCATATGTGCCCCTTTCAGTTTTGGTGAGCTCCACTGCTTGTGTTGCCTGCACCTCCACCGTACTTGGGCTTTCTTCACTGGTAAGAGTGATTCACGGTGGCGATCTGGAGCCTGCAGGTCTTGTGGGAGGTCCTTTGGCTTCAATGGTGCATGGTGGAGTTGTCTGCTTTCCAACCGCTGCCAGAATCTTTCAAAGAGGCTATCCAGCCTGGACTCCACGTCCAACCATACTGTGCTGGAGTTCGGTAAACACATGGGTTCCGCCATTTTGCACTGGTCATAGTGGTGTCTGTCAGCTTGGATGGCTTCACCCTACGAGTCTTCCTGTGCTGGGTTACCTCCCAGGGGTGGACCGGGATCACCCCCACCGGTCCAGGGGGGGGGAGAACGGGGCTGTTGCTGGCAAATAGCGTCCTCTGGGCCCCTTCCGGTCTGGGAGATTGTCCGCCTCTCCCGCCTGGCGAGCACTAGGCCGCATTCACCACATGCAGGTATGAAAGCTCCCTGCGGCTCTTTATCCACTCCTATTCCTATCAGGTAGGTTGGAGGGCCCCAGTGTTGCAGGATTTGCTTCTAATCAGGCTGATTAAGCTTGTCAGACGTGTCTTCAAGCCAGGTAATGGAGGAGCTCACTCGAGATGCATCTCACCTCCATGATGGTCAGGCCCCGCCCCCTGGGGTAACCCTTTAAGTATACAATAAAGAAGAATTGTTAGTTTTCTGGAATTCTCACCATTCAATAGAACATTGAAAATCACCTTTAGAGGGACACTATAGTTACATAATTACATAGTTACATAGCTGAAAAGAGACTTTAAGGCCCATCAAGTTCGCTACAGCTAATCTTCACATTTGTTTTTTGCTGTTGGATCCAAAAGAAGGCAAAAACAGTTTGAAGCACAATTTTGCAACAAGCTAGGAAAAAAAATCCTTCTTGACCCCAGAATAGCAGTCAGATTTATCCTTGGATCAAGCAGTTATTACCCTACATTGAAAGATTATATCCTTGAATATTCTGTTCTTGCAAGTATGCATCTAGTAGCCTTTTGAACATCTGTATGGACTCTGATAAAACCACTTCCTCAGGCAGAGAATTCCACATCCTGATTGTTCTTACAGTAAAAAAACCTTTCCTTTGCCTTAGACGAAATCTTCTTTCTTCCAGTCTAAACTCATGACCTCGTGTCCTATGTAAAGTCCGGGTTGTGAATAGATTTCCACACAATGGTTTGTATTAGCCCAAAATATATTTGTATAATGTTATCATATCCC